CCCCGCCACATAATATACAAGAGTAAGACTTTATTTTCGACCTATTATGCAATCACCCCTTTATATACCGTGCAAACTTTTTGTTGTAATAAAAATAAAAGTGTTTATAGTAGGTGTTTGACTTTTAGTGTATAATTTGTTTTTTTTTTCCTGGTAGATGGGAACCCCCCCGCCCCCCAAGTACTTCCAGGGGCAGGGTGGGGGGGACTTCTAGTGGCAAAGGCCAGGGGTTAGAGGCAGGATTTCCGGCCTCAAGATGGTGTCCAGGGGCGCGGGGCATCTGTCAAGGGGCAGGGCTACCCTTGTGACCCTCGACAGCTCACCAAAACTCATTATAACTTGAAATAATTGCCCACCCCTGCTTTATAGCATTAATAGCACGTGTAGATTTGCCCAGTGTCATGTGTCAAATGTGGAACTCAGTGCCAGTAGATGTTGTGGAAGCTGACAGTTTAGCTAGATTCATAAAGGGATTTGGATACATTTTTAGAGGAGAGGGGCATCTGTAGCTATTGAGCATGAGAGTTAGGAATACAGCCTCTGAATTAGGGGTTCCTAGACCTAAGGGGCGCTTTTACATATGCTCCGAGAGTGGGGCAGGAGTGGCACTTTAATCAGAGCAGGGACCACTGAGTTAAGGTTGTACTCTGAAGGTTTTCCTTTGTTAGACATTCTCGTTTTTGAACATGCAATGAGGTCTACAGAAGCCCACCAGAAGCATACAGCCACTCCTGTTTTTAAAAAATCATGACTTCTCTCCCTTTTAAAAAAAATGTATTTTGTTTTTCAACTTTAAGGAGCTTGTCAGTCTTTATAGGCTCCTTTTTAAAATAATAGCTATCAGTTAAAGGTCACAATAATATAGTTAAAATGTGGGTTGGTTTGTAACCAAATAAAGTTCTGTAGATCTAACCTTGTGTGAGCCTTTAAATGTTCTTGTGTAACCCCTGCACTGCCACATTTCTAGATGCCCAGAATACTACTTTTAAAGTGTCCTTTTGTCAATTCTTATTTGTATCTACAATTAAGTTATTTTTGGTTAACTATACTAAGGTTCTTAATTCCAAATAAGAGATTTCATAAATCCCTCATATAGTCCTTATAATATTTGCCTTAATAAATTAAGGCAAATATAATCACATGCTCTTAAATGCATAATGTTGGGAGTATTTTATCATAAGACTTATGCAAAACATATTTTAACATGGATTTGTTTAACTATTATTACTATTTGTGCTGCTTGCTTTTGTGTCGACTTCATCTCCTTCCTTTGAGCTTTTCTCTTCTATTTATTGTACAAGCAGTTCCTTGCTAATTAAAATGAATACTTGGGAAACTTTCAGATCTCAGGCTTATTAACCGAGACAAGCTGTCCAAAGTGGGAGTGAAAATTAATTTACTATAAATTTAATAATACTGCCTACATGTATGCTTAAGACTGTATAATGGAAACACTGAATCACTGTACTTTAGCCAAATTGATTTAAGCTGTGAATTTCTAGCAGCTGCGTTACATTGGCCTGATTTCTAGATTTAAAAAACCTATTATCAAAAGCTCTAGTGTTGTATCTAAATTAGCAGATTAACTCCTTAATAACTTAGCTGCAGAGAACATACCTAGCAGCCTCTAAGCCTTTGTTTTCTGTTCCATGTTTGGGTAGCAATTAGATTTCTTGTGGGGGGGGGCGTGTATTTGCTTGACATGAATGGAAAGTTTTGGTTTTTTTAAAACACTGTGGTGCTTCTAAAGTGGCATTTTGCTTTACAATATGATATTTGCACTAGAGACAGGGGAAGAGGTAGAACATAGAAAAGGAAGGGGAAAAAGAAATAGATTATTTCTGAAATGAACAAATGTTGACTGAATGCAGCAAGTCTGACAAGATAGTTGCTTCTTTCTCCTCCCCATAGTTCCAGGGAAAAGGAATTAATTTATCTAAAACATGTCTCATCTAATACTCCAGAGTCTGAGGTATCAGCATAGGCAATATTATAAGGTGAAGTGGTTACTATTTGGTTTTAAATGCTTTCTTTTCTGTCTCTTGTTTTTGTTTAGTGTTTGGGGTTTTCTGTGTATAACAGGGATTTACTTTCTACTGCTCTTTCAAAAGAATTAATGGAGTGTCTGTTTGCTTTCCATGTTCATGATGGATAAAATTTGTAAAATTCTCAATCGTGTAGAATGATGGAAAATTTTGTATTGTTTGTGCATCTGAAAATAATTTGGATAGTGAAATAAATATTTCCTTATTCTCACATACAAAGCATGTCACAATAGTTATTGGAAGGCTGATATTTTTAAAGCACACTGAGAATATTAAGCATGAAATTATGATAGAAAATAGTTCCAATCTTTTTTTGGTAAGCAGTGTAGTACAATGCACATATCTTGCAATAGGTATAACCTTGACTTTTATGTTTGTTTGTATGTAGAGGTGGTTTTATGCAATGCTTTGAAGAGTCAGATTTTTTTACTTTGCTTTCCCATGCCAGCAGAACATTTCTGAAAGGGTGCTTCCTGTAGTTTTCCTGTCGATTAAAAACCAAAAGAGATTTGAGTTTTAACTGTTCCTCTGCTGTCAGTAAATGTCTGGGAAAGTTTTCCTTTATCTGCTAATGCAGATCCACTAGGACAAATAAAAACGAAGCTTGAAAACTTACCACAAGTTAAAAATTAACTAGCAGAAAAGAAATGTACCATTCACAATTTTCTAACACAATTCCCCATAAACAGCAGTATTATGGCACGAGATTTATTTATTTTTTTGCTTTTTATTAACTCATGCATGCACACATGTTTAAAAAGAACATTTGTCACTAAGGTTACAGAATCAAGCACTACAAAGTTTTTGATAATGCCAGAATTTACTCACTCCACCTTGTGCTTATTTATCATGATAGTCTTTAATTGTATGATCATCTACTTGCAAGGCCCTGCTTCATTCAGTGCCAAGGACAGACCAATTCTAGGGATGGAAAAGGGCTTATTATTGTTTGCAAACTTCTGAGGCCCTGTGGTAAGAAGTTTCAAAGAAAAATCCATGAGGAAAATAATAATTTCTGCATAGTGTGACATAAATAGGGCCTGAGTTGATACACTGGGGGGACAGGGCCTGAGACAATACACTGAACAAAGTGGAGAAAACTAGTACAGGTGAGTGTCTGTTCATTAGCCTAGCACTTCTCATTCTGTTCACTAGGCACTTTTACACGTGCTCCAGGGTTGGGGACGAGGTTGGCACTTTCATTAAAACCACTGCAGCATCTTGTGTATTTGCATCCCCGCACTTCAAAATGGTGGCAGGGGCACTTGAGCTAAAGCTCACTGAATGGGTCAAGTGCTTGACAAATGTAATTTCTGCCTCTGCCCTACACAATGGCCTCCTTGCCCTATTAGTACCTTAGGACACTGGTTGTCTTATGGGCCATCTGTGGTATCCTTCTGCCCCTGTAGCCATGCCTGTTTCTCACAGATGTTGCTTTAAGTTTCGCTGGGTCCTCTGGCCCCTCTGTCTCGCACATGCACAAGCACACGCACGTATGTGCGTACGTGTTGCAGCTGTTCATCTTATGGACCCTTGGTGACTGGCATGTTTGTTACCCAACAGGAAAGAAAGTCGCACCTTTCTTCTGCATACTGTTGTGTTATGAGATTCTAAGTATTGTTATTATTTAAGAATAAAAATGTTTGCATTGGTTTTTTGGCTTTTGCATGAAATGTGATACAAAAACTGGAAGCTAACTAATTAAGGCTACATGCAGAATGTTGAAGTAGGTCAGGGCTGTACAAGTTCTGAATAGCTGGGACACACACACACATTGCACTGCTGCATCATGCAGCCAAGCGGCCCCTTTCCCATTGTTGTGCAGGTACCCCTGTTTTGCATTTCTTGCTCCTCCTCCCCGTTGCATGGCATGATATGGCACACACCTCCTGAATGTCCCATGGGCCATACTGCCCCTCCCTACACCCAAGGGTGGGGATGGGAAGCAGAAGCTGGAGGAGGGAGGGGGAGTCCAGAGACCCCAGTGGCAGCTGTAGGGAAGTGATGAGGGAAGTGGTACACAGACTGGGTGCTCAGGGGCTGTGAAGTAACCCATGGAGACCACATGCAGGCTGTGGGCCATCAGTTTGACACCTTGAAGGTCATGAGTGAACGTTTTGTTGTCTGAGGTTGATGTAAGCTTTACATATGTCTTGTTATTTCTGTTGTTAATAGGTGAACATTATACCGGTCATAGGCAAAGCGGACACCATTTCTAAAACTGAGCTGCAGAAGTTTAAGATCAAACTCATGAGTGAATTGGTTAGTAATGGAGTCCAGATATACCAGTTTCCAACAGATGATGAAACCATTTCTAAAATTAATGCCACTATGAATGTAAGTATCCAGCATGCATTTGGGGCAAAAAAGCTGGTAAATCATTATTCTAGTATTAGTGTCACTCCACTACTTCTCCTCTTCTCCTGCATGCCCATGTCAAGACAATGTGGTTTTGTATTTAAAACAAGTTCAGTATTTACATCTCTTCTTTTGTTAGCAGCTCAAGGAAACGCATAGAGAGACACTTATCTATTGGCTCTTTTTCTCATTTCTGTTCTCCCTGTCTATCCATTGTTAGTAGCATTCATCACTTTAACCTAAGTTTGAACAATAGCTAGGATTTGTTATTTTGAGGGGCGTCTGTATGATATGTTCTGGATGCAGGAGCCATACATTCGTAAGCACTTTGATGGGAATGCAGCCCCTGCTAATCACTTTGCTCGCTCTTCTCACTTGCGCCAGGAAGTCAGAGTGCAGTAGTGTCTGCCCCACTGTTCTGTAGTGGATCTGACAACATTAATATTTCTGAAAGTTTGCTAGTTTTGTGTTCTAATGATCATTTTAGCAGTTAACAGCTTCAGTTTTAGATGAACCAGTCAATGTACAGGCAGCATTTCCTACCTTGTGGCTGAGATCATGGCATGAGCCAAGACCTTTGGCTTCAAACCCCAGTTTTCCTCTGACTGCCTCATGACTGTCACTAGTGAATGCTTGCTCTGCTTTGAGGAAGACTGTTTCCCACATAGTTGCTACCTGTGTTGGCTGTATTCAATATAATTTAATATATGAGGGCTAGCCACCTCAAACTCTGCTTGTATTGGTTCAAACAATTGACCTTTGACCAGCGGGACTTTTGACACGTGTCTAACCCTTCACTGAAGCTTCAGAATCCATTAATGCACAACAGCCTGGGGCTGGACTAGCTATTGATCTTTTAAAATGGATTCTTAGTATGACACTTATTTGTCACTTATAATTTGTCTGCTTTTCCCCAAATCTTGTTTTTTTCCATTTATTTCTCAGGCTCTTCTTACCCACACTTGTGTAAGAGTAATAGGAGATAGGACTGAATTGTTGTAATTCTTACAGGGGCACTTACCATTTGCTGTTGTGGGGAGTCTGGAGGAGGTAAAAGTTGGAAACAAAATGGTGAAAGCTCGCCAGTACCCATGGGGCATTGTGCAAGGTAAATCTGAATTTTAGAGTGTTTTTAAGAGACTATTTAATGTTTTCAATATAAACCCCACAGAAATGGCAGAAACATTGTTCTGTTACTGAATGGGCAGATACTAGCCAGTGTTGTTGTACTGGGATTGTTAGCTATTAATTAAAAAAAAAAATCATTGTTTGATTCCGGGAGGGTCACAGCATCACCTGCTTCAGTCCATATCTGTGAGGCCAAAGGATGATGAGCAAGTATTAAATCAGATCCTGTTCGAGTTAAGTACATTTAATATTGTAGGAATGCTTCTTGTGTGTCAAATGTTAAGAGCAGAGAAAAGCTACTTGTGTGGAAAATAATTTTGGAACCTACTTGCTAGCATTAATGTTTGGATTGTGTTACAAATCACGAGGCAGCATATTAAACAATAATAGAAACATGGTTGCTTTCTTTCTGTTCTCCCCATCCAAAATGATCAGCCAGTTAAATAAAAGAAACCCAAAGAAATACTTTTCAACACTGCAGCTATTTGTGTGTGGTGAATGTAACTATTGTTTATCTAATTAGTGGAAAATGAGCACCACTGTGATTTTGTCAAGCTTCGTGAGATGCTTATTTGTACAAATATGGAAGATCTTCGAGAACAAACTCACACACGGCATTATGAGCTGTACAGGCGCTGCAAACTGGAAGAGATGGGTTTCAGGGACACTGGTCCTGAGAACAAACCAGTCAGGTAAGAGAGTGAATCCAGTTGTTTGACATAATGAAAAAGGTCTTTTGTTCTTTACTGTTCTGGTTTGGGGGCGCACGCTGCAGCACACCAAGTATGGAAAAGCTGCATCTTTCCTTGGTTGGAATAGGATCTTGTTCCTGAGAGACATGCATACTTATTGTTCTTCTAGTGGTGGCAAAGTCTCAGATAACTTTGAGGTAGGATAGGATCTGGGAGTATATATATAATTTTACCTTTACATTTAGGAGAGCACGGGTTAATTATACTTCTAAAAATCACTGAGGCTTTGTTCCTACCTTGAGGATCTTGACTTTTTTCTTGAAAAATATTTGCAATCTTTATTTTTCTTATGCACATGTTATTCTCTTAACTTTTCTTTTGTGTCTAATTTCTATTTGGACATCACTTTTCACATGTTTACTGTTCTGCTGTTTTCTGTCTCCTATTGCCGGTGTCTAATAGAGACTAATAGTATGGTTGGATTCCAGAGTCCGAAAGCACTGAAATACTTGCTTCAGTCCTATAAAATCACTAGTACCACTTTCATCTAACCTACACATCCTTAACCTCAAACACTAGAAACTTGTTTGTCACAGAATATATTCCAATAGACTTGAAAATTCTGAGGCCTGACTATGGGGTGGGAAAAATCTACAAGAAAACCAGTTTACCAAAGGGTCCTCCTTCTTAGTTTGTTTAAAAATATTTGGAATCCTTCTGGTTCCTATTTTTATTATCTTGTTTTCCTGACAGTCTAGCCTTTATGTCCTTTTTCAGCCTCCCTGTTACCCATTACCTATAAAAAAAAAGATCATTACACACATGTTATGATTTTTGCATTAGAACTCTTTCAGAAATAAGCTGGTACTTTGTGACTTCCCCCGCCCCCGCCTATAATTAGTCAAAGTCTGTTAAGGGAAATTTATGAAATGCCAAGTTACTGTTGTATAGAAATGGTGGGTGATGCTGGCCTCAGCTATATATTGATACAGTAAATAGCCTTGAGTTTAAAATAACTATTAATGCTCTGACTTTATCTTTTTTAAAGAAAAAAATCATATCGTCTTTACATAGTCACTATAGAAATTGAAAATATGTGACTTTTAGTAACTTTTTACAGATATATTTGTAGTTGTTTACATTCTCAACCTCTATCTTTTATCTATAAGCATAGAAGTTACAAAGTTGCAGCAACTGATGAGTTCAAGAGTGGTAATGTTTTAGAATAATAACTTTTTATTGAATGAGTAGCTGTTTTTAATATTGTACTGATGAATGAGGGCTGATGAGTAGAGCCACATAGAATAGCAATCCTCAAATGGCCTATAGACCTTCAGAAAACTTATCTAGGTACCAGTAGTGATGTATTTAACATGAAAAGACTTGACTGTTCTGAACTGCCTTGAGAGAGACCTGAGTGTAAATGGACACACAGATTAACATATATGGGTAATCGTAAATCACCCCTGAAATGGCCTTGTGCAAATAGCAGAGAGCAGGATTGCAGAGCAAGTTTTGGGCCCTTTCAGAGTCGCATGGTTACTATGGAGGAGGTTTTCAGATGACAGGTTTGGAATTAGGTGCCTGAAGTCTACCTCTAGTTTTGAAAAATTTAAGCCCTTTTATATGAGTGGAAGAGGGTTTTTTTTAATTGTATGTAGACTTTACTGAGTATCCTACAGTGGGCCCTAGCATGACATCTGATCAATAAAAGCAGATTCAGTGACACAATGGATACCCTCAAACTGCCAGCCAATTCCTAGTTAAAGTCAGGCTGGTTAGTTATTCAATCAAAAGATACCCAATGTTGCCCGCATTCATGGCACTTGCAGCAGGAGAGAAAAAGCAGGAAATATACTGCTCATCTGTATCAAGGCACAGTAAAACCTCATTCCAGGCATGCATGTCCTACAAATTGAAGAAGACAGTGGTAGTAAAAATCTGTTTTGGAGGAAAATAGATTTTTTGATGGCAATATTTTATTAAAAGTGCCAATTGAGCAGGTTGCTATAATTCATTCATTAAAGGCTATGTTGCAGTGTGCTCACTACCCATAACTTACTACTCTTGGGTAGTTGTTGGATGCGCTGCACTTGATTGATTACAATTAGAAGCAAGCAGAAAAATAGAGGCTTTCTAAATATGAAAATATGTTTCAAGTACTTGATACAGACACGTTGGTAGTTTTCTAAATGTTTAAACTGCAGTTTGCAGAGCTTTTTTGATTATTTGCTGTTTCAAGTAGCTAATATCTTTGTCTGTTTTGTCGTCTTTTTTTTTCTTTTTCTCTCCCCTGTCCCCTTTCCACTCCAGACTGATAGCTGATTGGCTGGTCCTGTAGCTACAGAATCAAACTCTAATCACAATTACTTTTTACCACAGGTGGCATTTCCTATGTCCTCTGAAAGGTTAGATCAGGCATGGCCAGCATTCAACCCAAGTGGTATGGTCAATCAGTGTGTTTGGCATGCAGCAGTTTGGGAAGGGGCAGAGGATTGGAGTGACAGTCAGGGAGGAGGTCAGAGTCAGGTTCATGCTGGTTTCAGGGTTTGGTCCTGCAGGAACTGTGGGGGTAGGTACCACTGAATTTGGTGTTGCCTCATCCCAGTGGCAACAGGCTTTGGTGGCACTGGGCAATGGCATTGGCTGATATATTAATGTAGCACTATCTCTCATTTTGGACTTGTGGCACACTTGTCAGAAAGGTTGGCCACCACTAAGTTTCTTATTTCTGTGTACTGCACATTTCTTTTCAAACTGGTGTGATATTTAGTATTCATCATTACCATCTATAATGCAATTTAGAGATAAGGCCCTGTATGTTAAGTTTATCTTATTGTATGCCTAATGTCAGTCATTTGATCCCTCCTTCCATATAGACTTCCCTTTTTAAGGTCTATGTATGAGATTTACTGGATGGATTTCCTAATTTATCAGGGATTTAAATGTAGTTGGTTAAACTTTAGGTAGGATTATTTAAAGGTCTAGTCACTTCTTAAAATGCAATTATAAAAAGTGTCTGGAATTTAGTTCCAAATCAAAGTGAGTTATATTTCACCAAGTAGTTTTGCAGAGAATCTTGGATTAGAGGATTGCTGTAGTTATTGAAAAGAAAAAGGCTGTTTAATTATGACTACAACAACACTCCAACCATGTTTAATTATGGGACATTGTTACCTTTTTCTCTTTTAGCATCCTCTCCTATTTTCTGTTAGTCGTTTGCTGTTAGAGCCTTTGCTTTCTATTAGCATTCTCTCCTGTTATCTGCTAGAATCATGTGTTGCATCTTAATTTAAGTGGGAACATCCTGAAGTAAATAATCTCTTTCCATGTTGTCTATGAGCACCTTGCACACTTTTGGACATAAGAATAAGGGAAGTCAGGTATGTCATAAACAGTGGACACTTACTAACATAGTTATTCATTGTAGAAAGCTTATGACCATATATGCACTTGTTGAATAGATTTGTAACTATTAATTAGAATAAGAAGAGGTACAAGGTAGTGTAGTTAATACATTTCTTAGCACACTGATAAAGCTTTGTGCTTCAGAGCATAAACCAATTTCTAAGGGGTTAAAGTGGGGGTGAGGGTCAGCCAGGTAGGGACAAGCTTGAGCTTGTGCTTATCTGCTTATCTCACACCTTGGGACACCCTTCGAAGGAACTTGTGAAACCCCAAGCTGACAAGGCAGCCTGGTTGAG